GTCCCCTGCAAGAACTGCTAGCACTTATAATGGCTGAACCCTTAGTCTCAATTTAAAATAACTTCATTTTGTTTATAGTGTTTTAGTGGATCTCATTGCACAAACACTTATTCTTTAGTGGCTGCAGTAGGCATTACACTATATATAAATAACTGCAATGGGCTGGTGTCCACTGGTGTGGCAGCAGATGAAGGGTTGGCAAGCAAAAAAATGAATACAGCCTTTGGGAGAGAGTAGGAAGAATGATTTTTGTATACATTGCAAGAGGGCATTAATAAAGGACTAACTGCAGCCTGGAGATGGGGCTTTTAAAGAGGCAAATTCACTATAATAATGTCCCTGCTTGGGGGCTATATCACTAAGACTGGTGTTTTTTCTGGGGGAGACATTAGGACGCAGATTCATAGATAGAAGATGATGGAGGGAAGACATAGCATCAAGAGAACCATCTCCACATCAAGGAAGGCACCCCGGGAAGAATAGGAGCAAAAGGGCCATCTGCACACCAAGGAACAAGCCCTGGGAAGACACCACTTTACTAGCACCGGGATCTTGTATTCATGGCCTTCAACTCTTAGAGGAAACAAGCTTTTGTGTCTCATGCCCTAAAGCACCATTAATGAAAACCCAGAGAGAGGTATTGGGGTTCAACCTGAAGCTCAGAAAAGCAAAACAGCCAGCCACTGGCTCTTACCTCTGCCTCGGTCTGAAATGGTGATCCTGCCTCTAGGAATCTCAGAATGAGACTGAGTGAGAGCTGTCTCCTCCAGTCTTAGATTCCTCTCTAGAAGTGGGATTAAAGTCCTGTATGACTACCTCCCAGGTTTACGGTGAACTAGCATGGCTACTGGGATTAAATGTGTATATTGCCACTGCGTGGTCTGGAAGGCTGTCCAGTGGGGCTGTTTTACTCTCTGATCTTTAGGGAAGTTGTATTTATTAAGATACAAATGAAACATCACCACCATGCCCCTCACTATTGGTCTGTTGCTACGGCAGCTCTCATAACTCCATACAGAAATTCTGTAAGCTGAATGGTTAGGTCCTTTGCTTTAAGCAACACTGAAATCTGTTTGGATCGTGTGCATGCTGACCATTGGAAGTACCAAGCATCTGAAAGTACTCCAAAGACTGGATAGTATTTAGGAAGTCTCCCCTATGGCCATCTTGTTGATGGGAAGAGAGTCCCTCGAAGCGTTCAGCTATGGAAACAAAACATAGATAGCGAAGCCTAGCCTTGAACCCATAGCAGAAACCAGTGTTTGTTTACAGCTAATGAAATGGGTGTCTCAACAAGAAGTAACCCAGCACTTCCACATGAATAATCTCTATAAAACTGCAAAGCACATTTAAAGTCTTTGATGACTGTGCACTATTTATTATTCATAAGTGAACTCAACCAAAACTTACCTTTGTAAATGCTACTGAACCCATTTTAAATGCAAATTATAATTTTAGAATTTTTTCCCCCTTTGAGGAAAACACTAAGAAAAACCTTCAAATTTAAAACCATTATGTTGAGGCAAAATTCAGTAAAAAAAATAAAGGAGAGGAAGACACAGGAACAGAGAAAAAGCAACACTGGAAATAATCCTTCTGCGGAAGGGCCCACTTTAGTGTTTTCTGAATAGATTCTGGTGTCATATTACTGCACTGCTGACATCCCATTGTAGACACCTAGCAGAATGATGTAATGGTTTTATTTAAAATGCCAGTATTTACAGTGATCTAGAGCTTGCGTCATTTCCAACTTTTAAAACTAAGGGTGAAGAACTGGGATGGCAATTAGAGAACACGACAGAGGCCACAATAACGTGATTTCTATATATGTATAATAAGCAAAATGGCTCAAAGAACACTGGTAATGAAATATGGGCTGGCTGGTTCATAAAACACACTAATCATCAACTTTCCATGACAATGCTCGGTGACTATGGTGCAGTTCCCATGGGGCGAAGGGCTTTGACTTCATCAAGTTATGAACTTGCCAATTGTTAGCTAAGATGCATAAGTATTCAATGGTTTCTCATTAATGCTTTTAACTTGCATCTCTTTGGTTATTAGTTAAATTAAGTATCTTTTTATGCATTTGCTGATCATATGAGTTCCTTTTTAGATAAAAGAGCCTATTCAAGCTCTTGTCCACTCATTTTTCTCTTGGTCATTTGAATTTTTCTTATTACCTTTAAAGAACTTTCAGAAAAACCTCCTGTGGCTCTGTAACCAATGGCTGGGTGTGAGCAGGGGCCCAGGACTCTTCATGACCCTGTTATGCTCCTCCTCTTCATTTGTCACATGTACCCCCTTTCCTTCTTATCTGCTGCCAACTTGTACTGGGCTTCAATATTATTGTCATCATTTGTTTTAATCTATGTCATCAAGGAGTGCATATTATTATATACATGCACAAATATGCATAGACCAGCCCTCTCTGATTTAATCTCCTAAATAAAAAAAATCATGCTACTTTGTGCATGTTGGGGGTATGAGCATATCACGGCACTTGTACAGAGGTCAGAGGACAGCTTGCAGGAGTTGAGTTCTCCTTCTACCCGCTGGGTCTAAGAGACCAGATTTCGGCAGTCAGGCTTGGTGGCATGCAGCAGCTTTACCCGCTGTACATCTCACCTCACTGGCTCATAGACAGGCTTTAAGATCAGAAAGGAGCCCCGCTAGGAATGCATCACAAACACTGACATTGTCTCCTTGTTTTTCCTATCTAACCAGAAACTATAATCAACATTTGCTTTTGGAGCCCAGCCCCATGTCCGTGAGTAGTAGGGTATTTGTTTGGTGTGCTTGAAGCTGTGGTTTCAATCTCAAGCATAAACAAAGAATACAGTTTCTGATCTATTTTCAAAGCAGATATTCCTGACTCTGTCTATATAGTGTTCAGTGTGTGTAATAGTGTATCTTTCAGATGCTTGAGGATAGTTACTGGAATTCTGAGATAATGAACCTTAATTTGAAGAGACAAAAAAGGTATATGAAAAAATTTAAATTATGATTGATGGAAAATTCAGAGGAGCTGTCATTTAAAAATAATTTGTTAGCAAAAACTAATCTGTACATTATATATATATGTATATATTTAGAAAGCTATACAAAATGTCTTCACATAATGAGTTTTGGGATTTGTTTGCCAATGATGCTCAGATCATTTAATGTCTTCCTATTGAAAATATGAGAAAGTTGGAAATTTATGAATCAAATCACTCCTTACTAATATGTAAGTACACAAAATAAGTGTAATTGGAATAATATAACTGAGGGTGCAAAATAGCTTTGTTAAAAAGGAATAATTCATTATCTTCCTTTAAATCCTGTCAAATCTATTGTAGGGAGAGCATGACACAAACACAGAAAAAATCAAGAGGGGAAGAGAATTAAAAATGTATAATGTTTTATTGTAAAAAATAGGCAGACTTTAATTTTGTTTTAACAGGAATATCATTGTAAGAGCCTCCTTGAGCCATCATTTTTTTGTAATTGAAATGGGCAAGAGAGCCAGTAACAGCTGCTAGAGGGAAAAGGATCTATGTCAGTGCCAGTGAAGCCTCAGCATCCTCCTGGGTGATGTCTCCAAGCAGCTACAGAAGCACAGTGGCCTTCAGAACCCTGGACATCCTCAAGCCTACAAAACAGCAGGGATTTGCCTATAGGCCCAGTCCTGTGGAGACTGTTTTGTGTCTGTCCCAGCATCCATAGTGTACAGTTTGTTAGAACACATGCTCATTGGAGCAGTGATGTCTCAGGTCCCCTGCAGGACCAGTAACTGCATCAGGCTTGTTTGTGTAAGGCCAGGCTGAGGACATCTGTCCCCGTCATGCTGGCGCTGATGTTTATGAACTCATACTAGAGGCTCGGGCAGGAGACCTGAATACACCTCTTTCCATGACCCAAGGATGATAAGACCCTGCTGAATAGAGCAGAATAATGTGGAGGGTAAATTACCTCATGGCCATAAAAACAGAAACTCATAAGGCAAAAGCCAACCGAATGAAGCATTTATTGTTTCCTAGGAGTAGGCATGTAAGGTGGGCTGAGGCTGAATGTGTGCAGTGGTTGTCTTAAGTTATTACAGGATTTTCGTATCTTTAGCAGCAGCAACATCTCAAAGTCAAATCGGGTTCTGCAAATATAAACACATCGACAATTAAGAAGTGCGAAGTTAGTGAAAGGTGGTCCAGTTCCCAGAAGATGCCGGAGATGAGTCACCATGATGGGGTGAGATGCTTCGCTAGGGACAGAGCATCTTAATGGCATAAAGCAGCAATGTTATCAAGTGGATGCGACCCAGGGCGGGATCTGAGCTTCCCCTTCTTCTCCATCTTCATAGATGGGAAATCACTGTTTGCTTAGCCACATCAACGACATGCCAAAAAGGCCTGTGTGCCATTTCTCTTTCTCTAGCTAAAGAAGGTATGACAACATTCAACAGCTGAGAACTAGGAAAACTGAGCTGATGTGATCCTCCAAAGACACTGGAAGTAGTGCCGTAATCATTAAAATACCATGGAAACTGTTTCTCTCTTGAGCACGCGTGTGGGGAGAACACCAAGCAGGGAGGCCATGCTCTTGTTACTGTGATATTTATTCACTCTTAGGTAAGGTGACATTTTAATTAAACCCGTCGATTTAACTGTACCCTCTTGTGTAAGACCTCTTCAAATTCGAGTAGGAAGCTGGTGGTTTGGATCTTTGGATATTTTGATGGGCTGGACATCATCTGGTAAGATCCTGTCATTGAGAAGATCACTCTGAGAGGAGAGAGAGAGAGAGAGAGAGAGAGAGAGAGAGAGGGAGAGAGAGAGCAACAACAACAAGTCCTAGGCAAATGAAAGCCGAATTAGGTCAAGTGTGTCTTTTTCTGTTACCCAGACTACCTGTTAAATTCGAGACCGAATATAAAATTGCAGTGCCTTGCTTCTTTTTCTTTCTTATTCCATCCCATTCTATACGGACACTTATGTGGACAATTTGTTCTCTTGGATTATGTCTTAAAAGCCAAAAAAAAAAAAAAAATCAGCCTTTGAAGTAGGTTGCTATGGGCGAGAGACACAGAAGGAAGATGGCCTAGATCTGGGAGTTCTTGGTGAGGGCAGGCAGGCAAACCACAAATGACTGACTGAATAGCTTTAGAGGTTTATTATCCACTCATTAGGAACCTTTAATTGCTTTTCCTCCTTAGCACTCTTCAATGACCGTCGTTCCAATCAGAGAGTACAGTTTTTTCTTAACGAGCCTAAATCCCGAGCTTAGGATCAGAGTTCGTCTAAGGCCCGGCGAGAAGCGACCTCTGCTGAAGAAGAAGTCCCTGAGGCTGGTCCACGAGCAGTTCTCCTGCTTGAACACGAGTGTCAGCTCGAAGGTGGGCACCACGCTAGCATCACACACGATCCGATCGAGCTTTTTACACACATTTTCAATTTCCAAGTTCACGTGCATCACACAACCCCGAAGACCGCAGGGCTCCGTGGAGGAGAGCCGCAGGACATCTTGAGCAATTCTCTGGGTCAGTTTCTCAGGGACCAAGACCTTGGAGCAACCCAGTTTGGTTTGCTTTGATTTGGATAGACAGTTTTCCAACATCTTAACCAAATTCTGGCACGTGGTCTCTTCAAATACCACCTCGTTGAGGTTGGGCTCAGGGACAACATAATCCCAGTAGTCGAAATCTGAAAGAAAGGAGTGTTTTAGAGACGAGAGAAACAATGTCTTCCTGGCACAGGAAAGCCTGGCACCACGAGCTTCTACATCTAACTGCTTTAGATACAGCTTTGAGAGTTAGCATGCCTTACTTTGCCGTTAACCCATAGGCAGTGAAATAAGTCATTTAACCTTTCAAGTATGAAAGCTTATCTGTGCACTCAAGACTCAATGAATATGGTGCTAGGTGCAAACAATTTCTTTAGATTGCTATGTCTCCTCAGAGTCTTGAGGATTATGCAGCAAAAACCTATCCGTGGTCGTCCGAGATTACTAGTTATATCCTTTCTCACTTGCTCTCTCTGTAGGGTTTTCCAAGTTTATTTTAGTGTTTTGGCAGCGAACAAGCAGAACATCTGGAATAAAAATCATTACTTTTGCTTCACAAAGGGACCGTTGGTGTGTCTGTATTAAAACACAGAATGATTGCAAGCGCTTGTAAATAAGTCCATCACAGTACCGATGAGCTACCCAACTCTTTATTTTTCTTTAAAAGTCTATGCTAGAATGGCCTGGAGGTCCAATTTTAGCCTCAAGCTGTTTGATTAAAGATTGCTCACAGAGGAGGGGACTTTTGAGGTTCATGAGGTTATTTATAACTGGGCTGGGTAGGTTTTTCTTAGCTGTGCAAAACAAAACAGACCCAGGAAAACAAAGTTGGGTTTGCTCAGAGGAAAATAGATAGCTCTGCATTTGGCCACCTACCTTCCAAATTAATCCTACCACCTGGCAGGGTGCCACACCACACAGTGGCCTCAGACCTCCATCACCTCTCCCTGTTTTCCACTTCATGCGTTCACTTAGGTCGCTGCTCTTTTTTATTTAACATACTACAAATCATATCTGTAGTTTACCTATATTTTAGCTACACTGAAGACAGACAATTTTAGAGTTTTGTCTTATAGGATTATCTTAATTTTATCTTACAAATGAGGAAGATGTACAGAGCTTAAGTGGTTTAATCTGTGCCCACACCATCTTTGATAGTAGAGTGGTCTGTTAAATTAGAAACTGCTATTCAGAGTTGCAAAGGATGATTCACGTGGGGCCAGGGCTACTGAACTGTTCTTCTGACATTCGGAATACAATAGCGGATTCATTTCACAGTGGAATCTTATTTAGTTAATAGGGAAGGATCTAGCTCCAAAATATTAAGTTGTGGAAAAGCAAACCCAACTCAGAAGAACACACATTGCATTATCATCTAACACTCTAAAAGCAAAACTAACATAGTAACAAAACATTGAAGGATGGTTGTTTGGGGATGAAAAGAGAGGGAATAGATGGCAAATGGGCAGAGAAGAATTTGGGAGGAATATGTAGTGATGCTGGTTACACAAGTAAATGCATGTCTTAAAACACACCCAGCTAAATAATGTCCCAACCAGGAGGGATAGGGAACTTCATCCTCAAGAGCCTGTTAGCAGACTAGAACAACGCAGTATTCTCGTTATGTTTGTTTCTGGTGGGCAGACAATGCTAAGGAAGTTTAGAAAGACATCTCAGATGGATTTCATAGTCTTCTCTGTCTAGGAGGGAATGAGGTCTCGTGCGCTCTGGCAGGGACGCTGACGCTATCTAGAGAGGGGCCGCGACCTTCAGATAGGAGAGAGGTGGGCAGCCGGGCAACTCACCACTTAGCAGACTCCCAGGGTGATAGCCACCGTCCAGCAACTCTGAAATGCTGGCCGGGTTCTTACTGCTCAAACTGCCCGTTGCAACCATGGTCAACGGCTCTGTTTCCCTCGCGGAGCAGAACGGTCTTCCCCAAGGCGCTGTAGGGAAAAAGCGAGAGAAGTTTGCAAAAGCACGCAAGAAGTGCAAAGGCTCCTCTGAGTCCCGGCATCGCCAGAGAGAACTAGCCCGGGCACTGCCCTTCCAGAGGGAGGGACCAGCCTTGGTAACTCAAGTTGACAAAGCCCAGGGAGCAGAGACGCCAACTACAGCCAACCAGTTGAAAGTAGCTCGAAAGTTAGCACAACTGGGAAGTGACCCTGCCCACTCCTGCCTCCGACGGCCGCTCACCTGCAGGGATTTCACCAGACGGTGAGGGGGTAAACTGAGGCAGATGTCCCTCAGTAGCCCGATCCTTGGACAGTGGTCCCCGGCACACGTCCCGCTGCGAGCCAAAGGCTGCGGGTCACCGCGCCCACCCGCACAGGCTGCGCCCTGCCGCTCCGCCTCCGGAACACAGAGTGCTTTATAGGTCCTGCCTCCCTGCCTGGCCGGCACGCCCACCTGCGCCACCCGCCCAACCCGTGCCCCGGCCCGCCCCTGCCGGGTCAGGTCGCAGGCTTTTCAGTCCCAGTGAAGACAGGGGCCCAGACCAGCCTCTGGGAATTGAAGATCAGCCATCACTCGGGCGGACACCTGCTGCTTCCTGGGTAGGCCCCTGGTCACCCTGACTGTAATTCACCTAAGGACCACCTACCTCCCTTTGGCCACTAACCTGGATTCTTTGATGTTTGCTCCTGCCCATGGCTTGCGTTCTTCCAAGTTCAGACTGCCCAGGTCTTGGCGAAGGAGCTGTTCAGGCAGGAGGAAGCTCCAGGTCCTGTTAGCCATGGCCTGGGGCTTTGCTGTGTCATCCTGAATAAGTACTTGGCTTAGTTGAGCCGGTATTCTGTGAGCAGCCTTTATGCTCCTGTTCTGACAGCTCACCCATCAACTCCAGTCCGCACCCAGTCTCTGCAGGTGGTCGGATGTGGCCAGGGCTCTCTGGCTTCAGCTGCACTCAGGAATCAATGGGGCATCTTTGGGGATGCTACATCTGTGACTGAAACGTTTTCTCCGCGGCCAGGGCGAGCCTGGCACTGTTCTAAGACCTGGCTTCTGAAAGCAGGGAGCTTGAATTGAAGAGGGGGCAGTGCCAAGAAACTAAACAAAACCACTAACGGGATCTCCTGTTGCCTGCTCCACCCGCAGGATAGTTTGGAGCAATTGCCGTTCCCGGAAGCTGAAGTTCCGGGGAGGCCTGTTTTAAAAGAAGTTTAGGCTTTGGTCTTCAAACCTTTGGAGGCAGGAGAATAAAGAGTTATCCTGCTGGGATAATTCCCGACTCTCGCGAGGAGTCCTGGGCAAAAGCGAGCAGAGGTGATTACACACCCATAAAAGCAAGCCGCCAAACCCTATTGGGGTGTTTCCTCGAACACCCCAAGCCACCCTGTTCCCTCTACCCTGCTCCCACAGCACAGGATTTGCTAGGTGTGAGTATTCCCAGCCGATCAAAAGAAGAAGAAAGTGCGGAGATACTTGGGGCTGGGGTTTGGTTCAAGCAGAGAGGTTCCCGCACCAGTCCCGCGCTTTGGGAACTGCGAGTGCAAAGGACCTGCAGGTTAGGGCCTTGAAAAGCAGGACCAGCTGTCTAGGCTAAAAACCCTTTGTCAGAAAAACAACAACAGAAACGGTAAAGAGGGGGTGCTAAACAGATCAGTGGGAGGACACTTGCAGGCAGAGCAACAGAAACTAAAGCCAGCGTGAAGGTCCATTTTTAACTCCGCCAGAGCAGCTGCACCGCCTCAAGGTCAGGCAGGCTGAGGAGAGAGATGCTGATAGGCTGGGGAAAGCAGATTCCCACTTCTATTTTAATAACAAAAGTGGAAAACAAGCAGGCCCATTTAAGCCCAGTAGAAAGGGTTCCTGGGGTTAGAGCCTGAAGGTCCAGTGGATGACCCCCACCCCCAGGTGTCCTGCCAATCAGGACACTCTGGCCTTCACCAGCCATAGAGCCTCTTGTTCTTATCTCATCAGCCTTGGTAGTAACAGAAGCTTGCTGCCTGCTTCAGGGAAAGTTGTTGGTATTATAATCGTAAGTGACCAGAATGGACACTGTTGAAATAGAGGCATTGCGCATGTCCACTCCTTAGGGACTTTAGACACAATTCCTAAGTATTTCCATGGGACCAAAATTATGGAAATTCCTAGGATGTAGTATTGACTCTGGGCTCACCTACCTACAATTAATTTTATATCACCCTTTGAGATTTTGCTGCAGAAAATAATTCACTGACATGCAAAAGATTTCAAATAATAGCATTCTCTTTGACCGGATGAATGACACTCCGGAATGACAGGGCAGAGGAATCGCTAGTGTAGAGCACATACCTGCAGTATATGGCAGCTAGGGTCTTTCTTAAGTCCACCTAAGATGTTTTAAAACCGTTTTCTGTCACCAACATCCACCCTTGCAACTACAGGGATGACTTAAGGCAACGAAGCATTCTAAGGATTTAAACAGAATCAAGGGAAACCAAGACAGCCATGGTTTTGGTCATCAATGATACACTGAAGTTTTTAATGTTGTGAATATAGTTGATGAGTAGCAGCAAGCTCATCATACTCACACATTTCAGATGGTTATCAAAATGCAGTATGTTTTACTACGTCTCTAAGTCGGTGAAAATGCTTGCGAGGGCACTTGAAATAAGGGCTGGGTAGGAGCAGAACTCATTGGTTGAATAATTCGCACGCCTCTCACACCTCAATATACGACAACACACTCTCAAAATCCTAAGTAAGGCCTTTCATCTTAAGCGAGCTTACAGTTTTTATTCCTATGGTTTACTCATCTGGCATTCAAGAAGAAAAGAAAAACGCAACATTAAATGGCCGCCATAGGTGGTATGTAAGCGAACATTGAAGTTCTGGGCTCCCTTGTGTAAATACAGCGTTCATAGCGCCACTATTTACACAAAGTATACCTACGCAAAGATACTTTAATATCTGATTGGGGAAATGCTGGCATCTGGTGCCTCCTACCTTGGAATGCTTATTGCATTTCCCCAGCCAGTTTTTTCATTTTACTCAGTATACACTGTTGCTCCTGAACCTTTGTTAAGACGTTCAGTGTGTAGCTTCATTCATTTCATGAGCTGTAACACCTGAGGAAAGTACCTGGGTCCCCTAATTCGTTCTGTGGATTTCTGAGTATCGTTATGGGGCCGCTTGTCAGGATGGAAGGACAAACTCCTTTTACAGACGCTACAATTGCATCTTCTTTAAAGCGATGGAGAGTCCACGCCTCTGATTTCCTGTGACTGCACCCAATTGGTAAGTGAAATGCTGAGCGGCCCTAGTATTTTAGTTGCAGAGACCAAATCCCTGACCAGAGACAACCTAGGGGAGGAAGGGCCTGTTTTGGCTCACAGTCTGAAAGAAGACAGTCCATGATGGCAGGGAAGGCAGGGAGGAGGAACAGGAGGCAGCTGTCCTCAGGAAATAGCAGACAGGAAGTGGGGCTGCTATCAAACCCCAAGGCCCACCTCCAGTGGTCCTCTTCCTGCAGTGAGGTGCAGCCTCCCTCCTAAGATTCCATGGTCTTCCAAATCAGCACTATTAGCTGGTGACCAAGTGTCTGTGGAGTGTCTCAGGGGTTCACAGTGAGGGAAGGTGCCCCTATTCTTCTGAAACTCTGGCTCTATGGCTCTATGGTTCAGTTTAAGTGTTGCTCACATAGAAGAAAATTTATGGTCTGCATGGTTTGTAAGATGTCTGTAAAATATTTGCCATTGGATAAGTAATTAAAATAAATCCACCAAGGTGTAGGTAGCCAGGTAAGGAGACCTGATGTTATATAAGAAAATGATGTGAGTACAGAGTCCTTTGCTGGCAAGATGACTCAGAAGATAAAGACCCTTGCTGCCAAGTAAGAAGACCCGAGTTCAATCCCGAGGACATGCATGGTAGAAAGAGACGACATCCTCACACGAGCTGTCCTCTGCTGTCCATTTGTGCATCACGGCATGCACGAGCATTGTGCATGTGTGCACACATACACAGAGTAAATTAGTATGATAAAAAATTAAAACTTTCCACTGTGATATACAATATTAACTTTGATAGTTCAAGAAGCAGTTTTGTAGAAATAAATGAAATATATCAACAACTACAACTATTGACTCTAGAATCCCCTAATTTTTTATATTTTTTCCTCTGATGATATCATTCATTTTCACTTGCCTATGAAAAGCTCCAACCAGTAAGATTTTTATTAAATGATTAATCATGCAACTTGAGTTATTGTATTTTATGATATAGGATTTGCATTAGGTAAGTTAACATCAAGCCTTGCCTGGCATGAAGTAAAAAGAACCCCAATATAAAATGATACAGAGTACCTGCATTAAAAGCAGTGTCTTCCATTAGCAGAAGGCATTACTACTCTGAATATAATCAGAAAAACTGTTACCATAGTGACTTTATGCTCAAAATAGTTGTATGGCTTTATTACGGTCATAAACAATGACACATTATCTCTAAATAAAAAAATGTGATGTGTCTAAATGCAGACAAGATCTGTATTCCCTTCTTGTGATGTGGAAAGGTTTACAGTTTAGGTGACTATTGTCAGTCAGTGTCAACCAGGAACATGGAGTAGGTCACTGACATTTCTCTAGGGTTATAGTGTAAAAGTTTTCAAACTCTCCAACTTGAGAGCACCACCACGATACACCACTTTCTCTGGAATTCTTGATAGGCACACAGAATCTACACACTCATGTAGATATTTACCTTCAACGCTACCCCTCCATGGACCAGTCAAGTGTCCTAATCGTGTTTTCTAGTGATTAAGTCTTAGGTATCCGGCATTCATATTGTCTGCCTCCAAAACCACACACTATCTCATGACAAAAATCTATGGGGTTTCTGAAAAAGAGGATTGAACCTAGGAACTGAATTGAAATGTCGAGTAGACATAGGATTCTGTCGGGTGGTCCAAGAACCATTCTGTAGATGTAAAGCCCAGTGAGGTAAGCGGTGAAATGATTCCACGATGCTGAGCTCAGGGTGTAGGAGCTGGGTGCGTGGACCTAGGCCCACCTGCCTGGGTTCGTATCCCAGCAAAGGTATTGGATAGCTTGGTCAATTTAAATAAGGAACTGGACATTTCTATGTTTTACTTTTTAAGATAGAAATGAAAATAATGCCTTCCATCATAGGGTTGTTGTGAGGATTCAGGGAATGAGAGTATAAGGGACTCTATAAAATTAAGCCATGATTATAGTGACAAAATTTACTATACTTATGAAAAAAAAAACACTCCAGTGTTTTGGTGACATTCTTGTGATAGCATTGCTGGGAGAATGTTTATATGAGCTCAAGATTGCATATAAAATTTTTATCATTTGTACATAAGAATTCATTTGATGATCAATATTTAATAAGAATTGAGTATTAATTATGGTAGGCACTGAAAATACAACAGAATGTCAGGTAAGTATCGACTCTATTCTAGGAGACTTATGGTTAGAAAAGTAGATGATAATTAGTACAAGATCATAATTGTATTGAGTTACTCTGTTGTTTCTATGACAGCATACCTAAGATTGGCTAATTTATAGGAGCAGAGATTTGTTTCCTATAGTTCTGAATGCTGGAAATGTATAGTCAGTGGGGACAGAGTCTGGTAAGTCTCGCTGTTCCAATTTTGTGTGCAGAAGAGAGAGAAATGAGACAGGATGAAAGGGAGAAGGAAAAGGCAAGGGAGAGAAGAAAGGAGGAGGAGAGGAAACGGAAGATGGAGAGAGACTCATTGTTCGCTCAGGAACTCAGTCCTGTGGCAACTAATCCTCTCCAGCCCTCCTCACCTGACCACCCTTCAAAGGCC